GTGTGTGTGTGTGTGTGTGTGTGTGTGTGTGTGTGTGTGTGTGTGTGTGTTTAGAGAGAGAAGGGAGAGGATTTTAAGGAAATGGCTTAATGGAGGTGTGGCATGTCCTAAATCTGCAGGGTAGGCTAGCAGGCTGAAGACTCAGGGAAGAATTGCACTTGAATCAAGGCAGACTGCTGGCACAATTCCTTCTTTCTCTGGGGTAGTCAGTCTTTGTTTTATTAAGGCCATCAACTGATTGGATGAGGCCCACCCACATTATAGAGGGTAATCTGCTTTATTCCAAGTCTACTCATTTAACTGTAATCTCATCTAAAAAAACACTTTCACAGAAACACATAGTATAATGTTTAACCAAATAACTGGGCACTTGGCCTAGCCAGGTTTGAAATATAAAATTAACCATCATAATAAAGATGTAGACAAACGGGAACTCTCAAACACTGCTACTGGGTACGAGTGTAAGTTGGTACAACCACTTTGGAGAATAATTTGGTAACATCTGATAAAGATGAGTATGTGCATCAATGAGCAATTTTACTTCTAATTATGTACTCTGGGAAGCACTTTAGGGCACAAGTAAACATGTTCAAGAATTTTTCTGAAGAACTGGTAATAGGAAGAAAATGTATGGAAACAATCTTAAATATTTATTCATAGGAATACTGATCAATTAATTGTATATTCCTAGGTTGTAATACCATACAGCAGTTAAAATGAGTTAGGTAGATCTACAAATATTAACATGGATTAGTTGTAAGAATTATATTGAATAAATAAAATTAGTTGCAAAAAATATATATTAAACCACATATTAATTTTGACAATTCAGTAATATCTCACTTGTTGCATTAGATTTTTATCAAGATGTTTTTGCTAGCCACGATTCTGCTGTTTCATTTTTTTTTTTTAAATCCCCAGAAGCACATCTCTGAGATCTTGTGGTAGAGGTAACTAAAGACATGTTTAAGGAGTTGTTCAGTAGATGTGACTAAATGTGAACCACAGTGAACTTCTTGCATCCACACCCATTTTTCTAATTCTTGCTCATTTAGAACAACTTTTAAAATATATACCAACCTATGAAGAAACTTTAAAGTCAAAAATGTTAATATTCAAAACATGTTACACATGTTTTCAGCTAAGGAAGAGACTAGAAATTTTAAAATCACATTGAAGTCATTATGACATTCAGTGGTATCTATTGGTATTTTCTATTTAAATAATTCACAATGTTTCGTTAAACTGTAAGAGTGAAATGAGTTAAAATTGATCTTCATCTTTTTTTCTGATAACTTTCTTATCTGTTCACAAGTTTGGGGTAATGATACTGCATTTGAAGTTAACCTTAATGTTTTACTTAATATTTAACATTAAGTATTCTCACCAAAAATATATCCTTATCAGCCACCTGCATTGTTTTTGTTTCCTTTGTAGTTATCTGATGATGGTCGCTATGTCTTGTTATCAATAAGGGAGGGATGTGACCCAGTAAACCGACTCTGGTACTGTGACCTACAGCAGGAATCCAATGGCATCACTGGTAAGATTTTTCAGACCGGATCATTATTCCAGGAAGTGCCATTAGAAAGCAATTATTTTGATCTTCTAATTGATTTCCCAAGCAACTTTCTCTCATTCTACAACATCATCTCAGTTCATATGATTTTTTTCTTTCAGTACTATTCCATAAAATAAGGAAAAATTGAAGCTAACTGTTGTCTTCAGCATTTTCTGAGGTTGGGATTAACCCTATTTTCTGTATGTGTGTGTCAAAATATCCTGTGAATATTACAGATGAAGAGTGTTAAGGGGTACACTTTTGGTACGTATAGTGTTATAACTACCCAGATGTCATGTTGCCAGCTGTCATAGGCAAGGGTTTTGAGACCACTGAGAATTTACCAGATTAACAGGTAATCCTACAGCAGCTCCTCAGTATTGAGCCACAGGCACAACAGCTTATTTTGTTTCCCAAAGCCTTCTATGTCGTGATATAACCATAGAACCAGCCAGATGCAATTTCTGGAGAGGGCTCATTTTAAATGTTGTTCTTTTCCAAATCTCTATCATACCAGCACTATCATCCAGCATTAAAGCTTTTCAACTACACAGTTTACTATGCTGAAAATTCCCAGACTCAGAAACTCTATCAGAGATATGCTGGCACCCAGATA